CCAGGATAAGATGCTACGAGTTGTCTCCTCAAGCCCCCCCTTCCCGAGTCTCCCCCTTCTGAGCTCAACCTAATCTCTTGTTACTGGATTACCGTGTCCAGGTAACATCTTCACACCAGTGCTGGGTCCAACACCCTCTCTACGGGGAGCCTGGAGGTGGACATGCCGGCCTTTGAGAGGTGAGGGAGGGAGGCAGGCAGGACAGTGCTGGCTGCGATGTTTGTCAACTTGGTCAGGAAGGCGACCTGTTTCCTGCCAACTTCCTGAAGCTGCTCAGGTGAAACCAAGGAGCTGAGGCTCAGGCCTCAGACTGGGATGGGTCACTGTGCTGCCCTGAGCCTCGGTTTCTTCCTCGGTGGAGCATGGGGGTTGGCTGCCTGTCCCTTCAGGCCCGCTAGGGAGCTCAGGGCTGGTGAGCCTGGATAACTCGCCCTGCAGGCGGGCAGGGAGGCCCCCACCCTGTGGGAACAGCACCCCGCTCACCATCTGCAGCTTGATCTGGGAGCAGGGGGCTTTCCTCTTCACCGCGGCCAGGCTGCTGGCGAATGTCCTCCGCACCGCGCAGTTCCGCTGCTGGGCCTGCTGGGAGGTGCCCTCCAGGCCGGCCACGGCCCGGCACACAGGGGACAGCTTGGCCCGGGACTGGAACAGGCTCCTCAGCTCCTCCCTGGCAGGTAGGCGGGGAGAAAGAGAGGGGCTTCAGGGGGGTTGGGGGCGAGCGAAGGGGACCCCCTTGCCTCTGGACATCTGCTTCCTGAAACCATGTCCTAGCTGCCAAGTCTGTTCATAGTCCCTTCTGCCAGATGATCCTTTGTTTGGGGACAAACGCCAGCATCTTCCTCCATGTCTCTCTCCCTCTCCTGACCTCAGAGCATCTTCCTTCTATTGGATGTTTCCGTCACTTACATACCTGCAGGAATTCTACCCAGCTGACACTTTCTTAGAGGGTAAAATCATCTCGGTTATCTCTAGAATGGGTCTGGGCACATCAGGTGCTTAGTCTGATTTGAGGACCAAGGAGACCCTACCAAGCCCCAGGATGAAGCTGGGATCCAGGGGAGGCCTTAGGCTCTCTGGCTGCCCCAGCCTCTCCCCTCCAGTAGAAGCCTGTGGCAACTCCCTTGCAAATTCAGGCCCCACCCAGACCATCCCTCAAGACCCTCATCCATCCCTGCTCTGTGCCCAACTGACTTCACGGCCATTAAGAAAATGAGTCTTGCCAGATGCACCGAGGCTGTTGAAAGCGGTTCCATGCCTTGCGGAACACGCAGGCTAACAATGGTACAAAGATGCTCATGTTGCAACAAAAGCCTAGGGAGACAGCCTGGAGAGGCCCCCTGGAAGCGGGAGCCCTGAGAAGGAAGGCTGTGGGCACCCCACCTGGTACAGGGAGAGAAGGTGGTGCCCACAGCCCTGACCCTGCATGAGGATGGCCCCATCTGTGGGCCCATCTGTGGTGCTGGGAGACCCGGCCTCGGGTCTGCAACGTGCGCTGTGGCCTGGGGCAGNCTGGTACAGGGAGAGAAGGTGGTGCCCACAGCCCTGACCCTGCATGAGGATGGCCCCATCTGTGGGCCCATCTGTGGTGCTGGGAGACCCGGCCTTGGGTCTGCAACGTGCGCTGTGGCCTGGGGCAGTCACGGGTCCTCTCTGGACCTCCTGACACACAGCACAAAGGTTGAGTGGGCATGAGCACCTTCCGGTAACCACCCCCTGCAGCATCCTGAGAGACTAGACGGAGTAACCACCCCCTGCAGCATCCTGAGAGACTAGATGGGCCCAGGAATCAAAAAGCTACACAAGCTGTCCTGGTGAATCAGGATCCTGACTGTAGAACCACAGGCTAAGAAGAAGCGCTGTCTGCCTTCAAACTCACCAACCCATGGCTCTCAAGTCTGCAAGACACCCTGCTGGGATTTACTGCCACACCTGCTGTACTCTCCCACCCAGGAGCACACACTGCTCCTTGTCTCAGGAAGTCCCACACTCACCAGGACACCTGGCTAACAAAGGTGTGCCCGCCCTTCCTCAACTCTACACCCCTCACTCAGCTTGAGGGTTTCTGAGCAGCAGGGCGATTTACAAGGAGGCCACAAGAGGTCTGTTGAGGGGTAACCATGAACCTTAATAAGGGTTCCTTAATAAGTCATCCACTCTGTTATGTCACCAAAGCCTTACATAACACTTGTAAGCTTGCAGCATCATTCCCACTTCTCAGACTGTAAAACTGAGGCCCAGGTCATGCAGCTTGAAAAAGGCAAAAGCAGAATCTGAGCATCTGCCTGACTTTAGAGCTGTGCAACGTGGCCTCGTCCAACAAACCCTGAGGTTGCAGAGGAGGAAGCGAGAAACGTGGAGGAGGGTAAGAGGCTGCCCCCCGACACCCAAGGGACGCGGGGCTGGCTGGGACTGGACTCAGGTCCCCCGGCTCCCCATACCGCACTCTGGGTTTGTCACCCTTCCTTCTGTCTGTTACCCTTCCCCTGTCCTCTGACTAGATCTCTCTCTGGGAGCTGTGCGCCCCTCAGCTCCCACTAGATTTTTCCAATCAGCTCTGACCACGAGGCTCTGAGAACACCTTCCAAGGATTACTTATACCCAAATTGTATTCTGGCTCTACCACTCTTTGCTATGTGGTCAAATATGAATCACTTCACCTCCTGGGGCCTCAGTTTTCTCATTTATAAAATGGGGCTAGGGACACAGTTGTTGTAAGGATTAAAAAGACCCTTATAGGAACTTCCCTGGTGGCCCAGTGGCTAAAAGACATTGCTCCCTATGCAGGGGGCCAGGGTTCAATCCCTAATCAGGGAACTAGATATGCATGCTGCAACTAAAGACACAGCACAGTCAAATAAACAAGTAAATGCGTGTGCATACACACATTCCCCCAACAAGCATTTCCAAAGGCTCTCTGAATTCAAGGCAGCCCTCTGCCAGCACGTCTGAGCAGAGCAGTCAAGAAATGCAGTCAGCTTTTTTTAGGCTGCAAAAAGTTATCACTTCGGTTTTATGATCCCCTAGTTGGAGGATGTCCATAAAAGTTCTTCCAGTCACATCATCTCCCAGATACTTAATGAAAGGCCAGAAGCCAGAATAAGAAGTCACAGCTTCCAAGCTTTTGTCCCACCTCCCCAAACGCCGGCTTCCTCCTTGGCTGGACTCGGGCCAGTCCCAGGAGATGCTGCGTCACTCCTGTCGAGTTACAGGTCTTCGTGTCATTAGGGAAGGGTCCCCGTAGTGGCCCTCCATCACTGACTGGGCTGCAGTGACTGCATGGCCCCAGCACCTCCAACGCCCCCCCTCCCATCCCCAGCCCTGGCTGGGCTCACCTGCTGGAATGCTGCAGGACCTGGGGGGCGTCCAGAGCTGCAAGGTTGGGTTTAGCCTTGTGGAGCCAGCCCGTGAGGTCATAGCGCACGGGGTCGTGTCCCAGCTGGTGGGCAATCTCGCACTGGAGGGGCTGCTCACAGATCCGGAGGGCAGAGGTTCCTGCAAGCAGACACACGGCATGAGTGCTGGGGCCTGTGCGGGGGGGGGGACATTCTGTCATCGCCTGGCGCCGCTGAGAACACGCTGCTCCCATTTTAACATGATTCAAACTATCGGTTCTGGGCACCATGTTTCCTCTGCTTTGTGCGTTTACATGCACGGCTTCCAACCTGTGTTCTGTTCCTCCTTGCTTCCTCTGTCAGTTTTTCTGATGTGGACTGTTTTTAAAGTCTTTATTGAATTTGTTACCATACTGTTTTACATTTTGGCTTTTCAGCTTGGAGGCATGCAGGATGTTAGTTCCCTGAACAGAGATCTAACTTCTGTTCTAACCCACGTCCCCTAGATTAGAAGGTGAAGTCTTAACCACTGGACCACCAGGAAAGCCCCTCCTCCTTGCTTTCTTAAATCTAAGATACCTGCATTCCCCAATTACCATTAACACATACCATCTTTGTGATTTTAGCCAGACCCATGAATCACCTGGACTGTTATTTAATGTTTTTTTTCAATTGGCTCAGTTTTACAGGTAAAATCCATTTGTAAAGAAGCATTATATTGCAGGTTTGGTGTGCCAGCTATATTTACTTTCTAATATTCATGGAAATAAATACACGATTATTAAATATTTTGACAATATGTGTAGATGCCACTTAAAATTGCCTGGACTATCAGTTACCAAATAAACGCACAGCAAATTCTTGGAGGATGCTGGTGGATACCTGGTTCCAAGGGACAGTGGGAGAAATAAATGGGCTGGGGTTAGAGAAGGCCTGGGTTTAAATCCTGACCTGACCTTTTTTTATAGTGGGACAGGGGCCAAACCACCTAAACCTCTGAGCCTCAGTCTCTTCCTCCGCCCAGCGTGCACCTCAGATGAGAGGCAACAGCCAGTGAGCCCCACGTGTTCTGCTTGAGTGAACGTTCTCATTAACTCAGAGCTAATCGGAAAGTCCCAGAGGCAAAAAGTAATTTTTTTAATACCAAAATGTCCGAGTTAATATGTCTATCAGTCAGTCCAGGACAAGAATCTCTCCCCTGGGACCTGAGAGCCTTCCCGTGTCTGGTCAGGTCTCACAGAGAGAGGAAACGGGCTGGGAGTCCTGCCCCCATCACACCCTACAGGATACCTCTGCTTCTGGCCCTGCTTTCCGTGTCTTTAGCCTAAAACTCAGGATCCAGGAAACATTCCACTTGAGAACTCTGATTCACTCGATTCTGCATCACCAGTGAACTGGAGCAGAGCAGGGGAGGGGTGGGGAGGGGGCAGTGGCAGGGGTCCACAGAGCCTTGCACCGGCCCAGGCCCTGGGCAGACAGCAGAGTCCAAGACAGGTACCCTCTGACCTGGGCGCGGGGAGAGCGTGTATAGCGCGGTCGTTGGGCTGATGATGGGCAGACAGCAGAGTCCAAGACGGGTACCCTCTGACCTGGGCGCGGGGAGAGCGTGTATAGCGCGGTCGTTGGGCTGATGATGGGCAGACAGCAGAGTCCAAGACGGGTACCCTCTGACCTGGGCGGGGGGAGAGCGCGTATAGGGAGGTCTTCGGGCTGATGAGAAGCAAGCCAAGAGAACAGGTTGCCAAACATCCCAGAAGGGGCCCTGAATGAGACGAGGAGGGCGTCAGGAAGGGACAGTGTGGCTACAGAGAGCACAGGGGTCAGCGAGGCCTCTGTGGAGGAGGGCCCAGCAGGGAGCTGAAGGAAAGCTTCTGGGTGCACCCGAGCCCCTCTGTCCTCGCCCCAGGCCCGGGAGTGTCACCATCTTACAGGCGAGGAAGGAGGTGACTTCCTACAATGCACACACATTGCAGCTAACTAGTGAGCACGGGTCCAACCCAGGACGCTCGGGTCCAGTGCCTGGGTGGGCTTCTAACAGCTCTGTCTCCTGGCTTCCTGTGGGTCTGGGTGAGTTTCCTCCTCTACAGTCTGCAAGGAAGAAAATTATCATTCCAGAACCCTGGAGACATATCCTGAAGACAGGGCCCACAGGGCCCTGGTCAGTCATTGGGCCTCTCCTAGGTCCCAGGTACTCGCCAGAGGTGGGGTGTGGTGGTGCCCACATTGCCCGGCTCAGAATAAGGGCCTCACAAATAGCGGTTCCCACTGCCACTCCCGATGGCAGAGGCCAGCACCTCAGAAAACAGAGGTGACCTTCCGGAACAGAGAGGATCATGGGCAGCATCACTCCAAGCACTATGACCCCCACCTCTAGGGTGAGGGCAGTCCAGGGTCGTGTACATATATACAAGCACACAAAATTATATTTCATGACTATGTCAGTAGAAAGGAGGATTGACATTAATAATACATGAGTATATTATATTGGTTTGCTACAGCTGCCATAAGAAAGCATTACAGACTATGTGGCTGGAAGCCCAAGGTCAAGGTGTTAGCAGGGTTGGTTTCACTGAGGCCTCTCTCCTTGGCTTGCAGATGGATGCCTTTTCCCTGTGTCTTTGTTTGTGCATGTATGTGTACTAATCTCTCCTCCAAAGGACCAGTCATATTAAATTAGGACCCACCACAGTGACCTCCTGAGAAATCTGTATGCACGTCAAGAAGCAACAGTCAGAACTGGTCATGGGACAACAGACTGATTCTAAATCAGGANAAGAAAAGCTATGACCAACCTAGACAGCATATTAAAAAGCAGAGACATTACTTTACCAACAAAGGTCCGTCTAGTCAAAACTATGGTTTTTCTAGTAGTCATGTATGGATATGAGATTTGGACAGTGAAGAAAGCTGAGCGCCAAAGAATTGATGCTTTTGAATTGTGGTGTTGGAGAAGACTCTTGAGAGTCCCTTGGACTGCAAGGAGACCCAACCGGTTCATCTTAAAGGAAATCAGTCCTGGATATTCATTGGAAGGACTGATGCTGAAGCTGAAACTCCAATACTCTGACCACCTGATGCAAAGAATCAACACATTGGAAAAGACCCTGATGTTAGGAAAGATTGAAGGTGGGAGGAGAAGGGGCCGACAGAGGATGAGATGGTTGGATGGCATCACTGACACAACGGACATGCGTTTGAGTAAGCTCTGGGAGTTGGTGATGGACAGGGAAGCCTGGCGCGCTGTAGTCCATGGGGTCGCAAAGAGTGGGACATGGCTGAGTGACTGAACTGAACTGAAGAGTGACATTAGTTAAACTTACTTACCTCTTTAAGGACCCTGTATCTATACAAAGTCCCATTCTCGGGTGCTAGGGGTTAGAAATTCAACATACGAATTTTTGAGGAGGGGCAATACAGTTCATCCCATAACATATACTTAAAACACGTATTTGCCTGCAAGTCCATTTTTTTTTCTTCTACTTTTAACAGAAATTAAAAGATTGTCGTGGACCCCTAAGAGTACCGTGGGCCCCAGACACAGCCCCCCCTGGACCCAGGCAAGTCGCTGCAGAGCCAAGCTCTCGGGAGCCATGCAGGTACTAATGTTCCGGGTGTGGTCCCGGGAGAGCGGCTGGAGCCACCAGGTGCAGGAGCGCTCCACGTGTGTGCCGGACAGAGGCTCCAGCCCAGCCGCACTGAGCACTGTCCACGTCTTTCTCCAGCTCCTCCCCCGATGTCTCACAAGCCACTCCAGTCAGAAGGTCACCCCAAACACTCCCATCAGAGCTGCACTTCTCTCGGTGGCCAGGGACCTCCATGCAGCCAAGTCAAGGCCATTCTTCAGACATGCCTCACTCAAACTTTCAAGCAGCATTTAACTCGGTCGGTCTGTCTCTCCTCCTGAGGCTTCCAGAACGCCACACCCCCCCATCCCTCCTCCAATATCCTGGCCACTCCTCCCCAACTACCTGTGCTGGACACAAGCCTTGTCCCTGGAAAGTCCCAGGGCCGAATCCCTGCCAACCTTCGCTCCTTTAGTGATCCAAACTAGAACTGTGGTCCTCAATGTCTTCTTACAGATTTGGGGTTTTTTTCTTTATCATCCATCTCCTCTGCTAGAATGTCAGTCCCTCAGGTGGAGATTTTTGTTTTGTTCACAGATATATTTCCCAGCCTACATTTCAGGTGCTCCAGAAGTATTTCTTGAAGGCATCAGTGAATGAACAAGCCCACAGTCTGACCGCCATGTCAGGGGGGACCTGGAAGACCCCACAGTGCATTTGTCTTCTTACATGCCAGGGGGCATCCGGGTGGAAGGGGGCTCACTCGAGGCTGAGAGGCAGACATGGCTTGTGTTGAATCTGACTTCTGACATGCCCCGTCAGGGTGATCACAGACATGCATTCTCTACAAGCCTCTCTCTGGAGCGCACTTTCCTCACCCTGGGGGTTAAGAATACGGACTTCTAAATATGGGAGAGAATTCAACCAGACATTCTACACAAAGCCCTGAGCTCGGCCCTGCATGGAGTGCACACAGCGCTCCTGCAGCCCCTGACAAGACGGGGATGATATTCTTTGTTGTATCACAGCCTCGGCCTCGTCAGTAACAACCGCAGCACTTGGCAGCTGATGACCAAGCTCGGCAGGTGCGTCCCCTCACCCCACCATGGCAGTAGAAATTCTGGAGAGCAGGCAGCCAGGGCGAGCTCCATCTCCTTTGTTCAAACTGCCGTGAGACTGGCTTGGTGCCCACGTTGGTGGAAATACGAATAGATGGACTTGAACTTAAAGCTGATGGATGCCAAACACCATGGCCTCTGAACTCACTGTTTCAGCTCCAAGTGTCCACTCCCTTGCACTTCTCCTCTCGCCAATCTGGCCCATCAGCCAGTGCTCAGCAGCTCCAGAGGCTGCCCATCTCCCTGGGGAGGCGGCTGCTCTCACCTCCCGGCTGCCTTCCTCTCTCGTCTCCACAGAGCAGTCTGGGGAGCCCGAATCTGACCGCAGCTCCCACTGCCTAGAATCCCACGTGGCTTCTCAGTGCTCCTGGGTCAAAGCCGACGCTTTCTGTGAGGCCTGCCAGGGCCGGAGGTCTGAGCTCAGACGATGTCTCCCTGCTTGTCCGGCGCCGCACGCCTGGCTCTCCGTCAGATTTACCTGCAGGCTTCTCCCCTGAGAGCCCCCAGCTGCCGGAGAACTGAGGCCCGCCTGACGCCCACCACCGACCCCCAGTCTGCCATCTCAGATTCAGCAGACACACACGTGCTTGTGTATCAGCTTGTCGTCTCCCACCGCTGCCTCACCCCCAGCACGGACAGGGGTCCCATCAGGCCGCGCGCCTCCGTGTAGATTAGAGCCTGCTCAGAACACGTGATGGATACGTGAATGAATGAGCACACGAACGAATGAAGGCACCCCCAGGCAGGTGCAGAGCCTCCCCAGCGCAGGCCTTCAACTCCCAAGCTGGCCTCGGCAGCCCCCACCCCCCTGGCTCCCTCCCTCACCTCCAGCTCCAGCTCCTTTCTTCTCAGAGGCGGCACAGAGGCGCTCGAGCACCACGCTGTCCTGGGAGCCCTCCACCCGGACCTCCTCATCCAGGATCCAGAAAAGGCCCCTGGCGTCCTCGGCACCTCCTCCGGCTGGCAGGCGCACCTGGTGGGAGATCCAGGATACACTGCTGAGCCCCAACCCCCTGACAGAGGCCAGGCCTGGGCTTCTCGTCCCACCTAGGGAATCGGGGGTCTGTGGCCCGGCATCACGACTCAGACGTGCTGGTCTGGACCCACGCTCCCGCTCACCCCCAGACTCTCAGTGAAGAAGCCACAGAACTACCAATCTTTTGGTTACAAAGGTCTGGATCCTCCCTCTGTCTTCATCTCCTGGATGACCCTGGGCAACTTACTGCCACTCTCAGAGCCTCATCTTTCCTTCCACAAGATGGAGACTGAGAACACTGTCCTCCAAGGTGAGGATTTAACCAGAGCGAGCTCTCTGTACACCACACACCTCTGGCTCCACACGGGCAGCTGACCTCTTCATGCACAGCCTAACATGGAAGGATCAATCCCATCCCCATCACTTCCTCTTAGAAGTATTTGTATTAAAATCTTGAGAGGAAAAAGGCACCAAGAACATCTAAGAGAAAGTGAACTTGCCTCAACCACACTGATGTGAAATTTTAAATCCAGCGCCAGCATCAGAGACCCTCCAGGCAACCCTGCATCTCTGCACGTGGGAAACGGGGAGAGGCCTGGGGATCTGCGGGGCTTATCCGAGGGCTCCCAGTGAGCTAACGCACCTGAACATGGTGGTTAAAAAGGAAAGGCGATGTGTATGATGGCCAATGGTCCCAGTGTGCCCAGGGTTAGGGGCTTCCCAGGATATGAGGATTTCAGTGCCAAGGTCAGCAACATCCCTGGTAAACCAGGACAGTTGCTCACTCTAACACAGGAATATCAGTCCACACCCCACTGAGAGGGGTCCAGCGACGTGGAAGGGACACGTCCAGGGTCACATGGAGAGGCCCAGGGCAGAGGTGGACCTGCCCCCGGGATCCTGAGTCTCCACCTTGGCCTCACTTGCTGGAGCTGAAATCTACATCCAGCCCCTCCCAGCTGTTCCAGCCTCTGCCCAAGAGGCCTGGGGACACCAGGATCTTTTCCTCCTCACACAGTCTGGGTGGTCCCTCAGGCCCGCCCCTCCCAGGGAGGGAGGAAGCAGGACAGGGATGGGGACCCAGCCCGAGAGGCGCCGGGGGCAGCAGAAGCAGCCGTGAAGGGCCGGCAGGGCTCACGGTCGAGAGGGCTTTACAGGACAAGGTGCAGCCCGCTGCGAGCCGAGAAACCAGGGAACCAGGAAAAGGTGTCCAAGCGCAGGAGAAACGTGACCAGCAGGACACCTGCTGGGTGTCACCCACCCTGTGGGTCTGTTTGTCCCAGACCTCACGTGTGTTCAGGACAACCCAGTGGTACTGTCGTTCCCATTCGGGTGATGAGAAAGCCGAGGTTCAGAGAGGAGAAGTGATGCGCCCAAGGTCACCAAGATCAGATCTGAGCCTGGCAAGTTCCACAGCCTGAGCCCTTCCTTTTACAGCAGGTTGGAGGGAGTTGGGGGCGTGGGGGCAATGAGGGAGAGCAAATTCCAGTGTGACGGTCACGGACCGCTCTGAGAGAGGGCTGAGCAGAGCAGTAGATCAGGGGTCAGCACAGTGGGTTCTGGGGCGGGGGGAGAGGGAGGCAAAGACTCAGGGATCTCCCAAACTAAAGTTTGTCTGCCTCCAGGGAGCTCAGGGGCCTGGATCCAGCATCACCCCCATTCTCCATCCCCAGGGGCCCCTGCTGTCCCAGTCTCTGCTGGGCTCAGCATCTTCGCCTGAACACCTGATCATCCCAGGTGACAGCGCGTGAAGGCCACCAGGTACCAGCCCTGGAGCCCCCGGCTCCGTCCACAGGCTCCAGGCATGAATGCGTTCTAAGACGCAGACTCAGACTCTCAACCTGATGGGACTGAGATGCTGGTTGCCCAGGCCACACCCTCAGACTAGTCAACACAGAATCTGGGAGGGGGTCCCCAGGGTCAGTGTTTTGAACAATCCCTGGGTCATTTGAGGTGTGAACAGAGCTGTGATCTAGTAGCTCAAAGACTCCAATCTGCCAGTATTTCAATAAAAAGCCCGAGAGGCATCTGAGAGCCTTGGTTCACAGGGCCCTGTGTTACCTGCGAGGGAGTCTGATCCACCACAGCCACCGTGGTCCCCGGGGATGACTCCGGGAGGTCAAACTGCACAGGAACATCTTCCTGGAAAGTCACACAAGTTCAGTGTTAGTTCCTTCTGCGAGCTGAAGGGGAAAAAACTTCTGGAGGAGGTTTAAGAGAAGTGAGAGTTTTAATCATCACACCTCGACCTCTTTTTATTGTTATTTTTAATCGTGGTAAAATGCCCATGGCATAAAATTTAACATTTAAACTATTTATCTATTTGGTGGTGCAGTGTCTTAGTTGTGGCATGAGGGGTCTGGTTTCCCTGTCCTCGCCCCGTGCTGTGCTCAGTCATGTCTGACTCTTTGTGACCACATGGACTAGGAAGGGACACGTCCAGGGTCACATGGAGAGGCCCAGGGCAGAGGTGGACCTGCCCCCGGGATCCTGAGTCTCCACCTTGGCCTCACTTGCTGGAGCTGAAATCTACATCCAGCCCCTCCCAGCTGTTCCAGCCTCTGCCCAAGAGGCCTGGGGACACCAGGATCTTTTCCTCCTCACACAGTCTGGGTGGTCCCTCAGGCCCGCCCCTCCCAGGGAGGGAGGAAGCAGGACAGGGATGGGGACCCAGCCCGAGAGGCGCCGGGGGCAGCAGAAGCAGCCGTGAAGGGCCGGCAGGGCTCATGGTCGAGAGGGCTTTACAGGACAAGGTGCAGCCTGCTGCGAGTCGAGAAACCAGGGAACCAGGAAAAGGTGTCCAAGAGCAGGAGAAACGTGACCAGCAGGACACCTGCTGGGTGTCACCCACCCTGTGGGTCTGTTTGTCCCAGACCTCACGTGTGTTCAGGACAACCCAGTGGTACTGTCGTTCCCATTCGGGTGATGAGAAAGCCGAGGTTCAGAGAGGAGAAGTGATGCGCCCAAGGTCACCAAGATCAGATCTGAGCCTGGCAAGTTCCACAGCCTGAGCCCTTCCTTTTACAGCAGGTTGGAGGGAGTTGGGGGCGTGGGGGCAATGAGGGAGAGCAAATTCCAGTGTGACGGTCACGGACCGCTCTGAGAGAGGGCTGAGCAGAGCAGTAGATCAGGGGTCAGCACAGTGGGTTCTGGGGCGGGGGGAGAGGGAGGCAAAGACTCAGGGATCTCCCAAACTAAAGTTTGTCTGCCTCCAGGGAGCTCAGGGGCCTGGATCCAGCATCACCCCCATTCTCCATCCCCAGGGGCCCCTGCTGTCCCAGTCTCTGCTGGGCTCAGCATCTTCGCCTGAACACCTGATCATCCCAGGTGACAGCGCGTGAAGGCCACCAGGTACCAGCCCTGGAGCCCCCGGCTCCGTCCACAGGCTCCAGGCATGAATGCGTTCTAAGACGCAGACTCAGACTCTCAACCTGATGGGACTGAGATGCTGGTTGCCCAGGCCACACCCTCAGACTAGTCAACACAGAATCTGGGAGGGGGTCCCCAGGGTCAGTGTTTTGAACAATCCCTGGGTCATTTGAGGTGTGAACAGAGCTGTGATCTAGTAGCTCAAAGACTCCAATCTGCCAGTATTTCAATAAAAAGCCCGAGAGGCATCTGAGAGCCTTGGTTCACAGGGCCCTGTGTTACCTGCGAGGGAGTCTGATCCACCACAGCCACCGTGGTCCCCGGGGATGACTCCGGGAGGTCAAACTGCACAGGAACATCTTCCTGGAAAGTCACACAAGTTCAGTGTTAGTTCCTTCTGCGAGCTGAAGGGGAAAAAACTTCTGGAGGAGGTTTAAGAGAAGTGAGAGTTTTAATCATCACACCTCGACCTCTTTTTATTGTTATTTTTAATCGTGGTAAAATGCCCATGGCATAAAATTTAACATTTAAACTATTTATCTATTTGGTGGTGCAGTGTCTTAGTTGTGGCATGAGGGGTCTGGTTTCCCTGTCCTCGCCCCGTGCTGTGCTCAGTCATGTCTGACTCTTTGTGACCACATGGACTGTAGCCTGCCAGGCTCCTCTGTGCATGGGGATCCTCCAGGCAAGAATATTGGGGTGGGTTACCATGGCATCCTCCAGGGGATCTTCCCGAACCATGGATGGAACCCAGGTCCTCTGCACTGCAGGTGGATTCTTTACCGTCTGAGCCACCAGAGAAGCTCCTAGTCCCTGACCAGGGACGAAACCTGGGCCGTCGCATTGGGACTGTGGTGCCTGAGCCTCCGGACTCCCAGGGAAGTCTGCATTTAAATCATTTTTTAAGCGCACATTTCATCGGCATAAAGCACATCCACATTTTGTGTAACCTTCACCACCATCCAGCTCCAAAACTTTTCATCCTGCAAAACTGAAACTCGGCACCCAGTGAACACAGGCTCCCTGTTTCCCTCTCCCCGTTTCTGTCTGTGAATGTGGCCAGTCTTAGCATCTCACATGAGCAGAATCGTACAGGATTGTCCTTCTGGGACTGATTTCCTGCACTGAGCATAGTGTTCTCAAGGTTCATCCAGTCACAACATGTGTCAGAATGTCCTTCCTCTTTATAGTTGAAGGACAGCCCCTTTTATGAAAACATCACATTTGTTTACCCATTCATTCACTGATGGACACTTGGGTTGCTTCCACCTTTTGGCTATTACGAGTAATGCTGTCATGAACATGAGTATACAAATCTCTCTTCAAGACCTTGCTTGGAATCCTTTAGGGTAGATACTCAGAAGTAGAATTTCTGGATCAAATTGTGGTTCTATTTTTAATTTTCTGAGAAAACACCATACTGTTTTCCACAGCAGCTGCACCATTTTTTATTCCCAGCAGTCCACATGGGTTCCAGCTCCTCTACATCCTCCCCCAGCAGTTCTTACTTTTTGTTATTTTTCAATCTAGTGGGTGTGAAATGGTATCTCAATGTGGTTTTGATTTGCATTTCCCTAAACTGGTGATGCTGAGCATCTTTTCATGTGTTTATTGGCCATTTGCTTTTCTTTTTTGGAGAAATAGCTATTCAATTCCTTTGCCTGTTTAAAAACTTTCTTGATTTATTTATCTTTGGTCGTGCTGCACGGACTTTTCTCAGTGGTGGCGAGCAGGGGCTACTCTCGAGTTGTGTGGGCTTCTCACTGCAGTGGCTTCTGTTGCAGAGCATGGGCTGTAGGGTGCGCGGGTTTCAACAGTGGCACCTTCCCGGCCCTAGAGCACAGGCCCAGTAGACGTGGTGCACGGGCTTAGCTGCTCCGAGACATGGGGGATCTTCCCAGAGCAGGGGCTGAACCCATGCCTCCTGCATTGGCAGCTGGATTCTTTACCATTGAGCCAACAGAGAAGCCCTTTGCCCATGTTTAATCAGGTTCTTTGTTTTTATCCGTTTAGCCTTCGTACAAGAAGAAAGGATACAGGATCCATAGAGCATCCTAATATTGTCAAGAATTTCTGGATCAAATTGTGGTTCTATTTTTAATTTTCTGAGAAAACACCATACTGTTTTCCACAGCAGCTGCACCATTTTTTATTCCCAGCAGTCCACATGGGTTCCAGCTCCTCTACATCCTCCCCCAGCAGTTCTTACTTTTTGTTATTTTTCAATCTAGTGGGTGTGAAATGGTATCTCAATGTGGTTTTGATTTGCATTTCCCTAAACTGGTGATGCTGAGCATCTTTTCATGTGTTTATTGGCCATTTGCTTTTCTTTTTTGGAGAAATAGCTATTCAATTCCTTTGCCTGTTTAAAAACTTTCTTGATTTATTTATCTTTGGTCGTGCTGCACGGACTTTTCTCAGTGGTGGCGAGCAGGGGCTACTCTCGAGTTGTGTGGGCTTCTCACTGCAGTGGCTTCTGTTGCAGAGCATGGGCTCTAGGGTGCGCGGGTTTCAACAGTGGCACCTTCCCGGCCCTAGAGCACAGGCCCAGTAGACGGGGTGCACGGGCTTAGCTGCTCCGAGACATGGGGGATCTTCCCAGAGCAGGGGCTGAACCCATGCCTCCTGCATTGGCAGCTGGATTCTTTACCATTGAGCCAACAGAGAAGCCCTTTGCCCATGTTTAATCAGGTTCTTTGTTTTTATCCGTTTAGCCTTCGTACAAGAAGAAAGGATACAGGATCCATAGAGCATCCTAATATTGTCTATCCTGCAGGGTTGTCAGCAATCCTGGTGAGGTTATCAGGAACTGATGACTCGGCGCAGACTCTTCTAATATTTACTGAGCACCCAATAAGTGCTGGGCTGAGTGCCAGAGAAAGCAAACAAACTCTGGATAATAACAGCTGGCATACAAAAGTAATCAGAAATGTCCAGACCATGCTATATTCAAAGATGTTCATCACAGTGTTGTTTAGAACAGCATAGATGTGGAAATCTCCCAGGCAAACTCCAGGAGATGGTAAGGGACAGGAACCTTGGCATGCTGCAGTCAATGGGCAGTCATGTCTGCAAAGAGTCAGACATGACTTGGCTATTGAACAAATGTGAAAATCACCCAGGGGTCCAAAGGAGAGCTGAGATAGAATCAGACATAACCGGAGACATGCATCCTTTCTAAGAGCTGTGAATGGTGGGAGGCAATGTGAACAACATAATGCTATGAGGAAAAAGCAAACAACAGAATGGTATACAGATGGACGCGAAATCTATAGAGAAGACCATGTATGGGAAAATGGCTGGTGTAAGATACTGATAGAGGTAATAGTGGTTGCCTCTGGGTGTTGGGGTAAAGGAGATGGTATTTTCTGCTTCTGGACACTTATTGGCACTTGCCAGTTTTTAAATAAAGAACATGTTTTACTTTGATCATAAGAAATAAAGTGAAATATTATGGGGAAAAATATGATGGATGCTACCACATGTGGAATGCCTAATACAGATTAGGCATTTTCTAGACCACTTCATCAAATGTTCACAGCAGTGTCTTTAGGAGGTGTGGTAACACTGGGGAGCGGGGAGGGAGTAGATGCCAGGGGCAGCTGGGGTGCTGGGATACTCTCCTCTCCCCTGGGTGGTGGCTGCGTGAGTGTGCTCAGCTGGACAAATTCACCAAGCTGTACACTCTGGATTCAGGCACTCGTCTGTGTAAATGTTAGAGTTCAATTTAACGTTTTTTTTTTAACATAAGTAAAGGCAGGCATGCAGGAACGAGCCTGAACAGGTTTCCTGATTCACATGCAGAGCCTCCTTGGAGGGGTGCTGCATATTCACTTCTGCTGGATGCTCCCATGTTATGATCCAGAGACTGTGCAAACTCACGATTTTCACCCACAGCTGGGCATGAAGGGCCTTCCATGGAGAAGGTGCAACCTAACTGCTAGAGAACGGTTCAGCTTGGGCATGTGGGTGAGGAGGAACTGATCAGCCCAAACAAGGGACAGTTGTGGGCGCAAGGCTGGAGGAGCCCCAAGTTCTGAACTGTAAGAGAACTGTAAGAGGCCATGGGAGACAGAGGGAGACGGGGCGGGGAGCAGAGGCCCCGGCAGCCAGGCCTGGAGCTTGGGTTTTAATCAGTGCTGGACCAGACTGCATGAAGCTAAATCCAGGGTGAGCACCAGAAGCTGCAACCCAGCCCAGACATACCTCCCGGAATCGCTCCAGCGCCAAGACGAAGGTCCGCTGGTAGAAAAGCAGCTGCAGGCGCTCGTGAACGTAATTGTGGCACAGCTCCTCGAAGGTGGCGGCCCGGTCTTTGCCCTGGTGCCGAGGGTTCTGAAAGCCTGGAGAGTCCACCACCATGATGGAGGCCATGGAGAGGTGGTGGGAGGAGAAGGATCTGGGGGGGAAAGGAGAGGGGCCCCAAGAGCACATGGGATCTTAGAGCCCTTCTGGTCCAGGCCCCCCACTCCCCCATCACAAAGATGGAGAAACCAGGGCAGCATGCTGGGCAGATCTGCAGACCCAGCAGAAGCCACTACTTATGGGTTGTGTGACTTTGGGAAAGTTACTTAACCTCTCTGAGCATGGGTTTCCCCCAATGTTAAATGGTGGGAGGGATGAATAGGAAGACCCAGGGGCTGCAAAGGAAAAAAAAGGAGCTGAAGTATGGAATGCACCTCCCTTGGACACTGCAGGCCATCAGGACACATGCTCTCTCCACCAGACCGAGACTGGAGAAAATACTTGCTTAAGGCTGCACCACAAATTTGCTATAACGTTAGGACTAGAGCCTCCCTTTCTTTCTTAGTGACACGTGGCATCAGAAAAACAAATTTGTTCAGTATCTGCCTCGGTGTACAAAGTTCTCTCAAGCTTCACCTCCCTGGATCCTCTTAACAAATCTATGAGGGTGGATGGACAAGGGACTATTAGCATCAAAAACAAAGAGTTAAGAGACTCCATAGAGTCACATGTGGGTTCCAACCCTCACTCAGCCACAGAGGGGCTGTGCAAGACGAAGGTCCGCTGGTAGAAAAGCAGCTGCAGGCGCTCGTGAACGTAATTGTGGCACAGCTCCTCGAAGGTGGCGGCCCGGTCTTTGCCCTGGTGCCGAGGGTTCTGAAAGCCTGGAGAGTCCACCACCATGATGGAGGCCATGGAGAGGTGGTGGGAGGAGAAGGATCTGGGGGGGAAAGGAGAGGGGCCCCAAGAGCACATGGGATCTTAGAGCCCTTCTGGTCCAGGCCCCCCACTTCCCCATCACAAAGATGGAGAAGCCAGGGCAGCATGCTGGGCAGGTCTGCGGACCCAGCAGAAGCCACTACTTATGGGTTGTGTGATTTTGGGAAAGTTACTTAACCTCTCTGAGCATGGGTTTCCCCCAATGTTAAATGGTGGGAGGGATGAATAGGAAGACCCAGGGGCTGCAAAGGAAAAAAAAGGAGCTGAAGTATGGAATGCACCTCCCTTGGACACTGCAGGCCATCAGGACACATGTTCTCTCCACCAGACCGAGACTGGAGAAAATACTTGCTTAAGGCTGCACCACAAATTTGCTATAATGTTAGGACTAGAGCTTCCTTTTCTTTCTTAGTGACACGTGGCATCAGAAAAACAACTTTGTTCAGTATCTGCCTCGGTGTACAAAGTTCTCTCAAGCTTCACCTCCCTGGATCCTCTTAACAAATCTATGAGGGTGGATGGACAAGGGACTATTAGCATCAAAAACAAAGAGTTAAGAGACTCCATAGAGTCACATGTGGGTTCCAACCCTCACTCAGCCACAGAGGGGCTGTGCGTCTTGGCAGAGTTGCCCAACCTCTCTGAATGTTCGCTGAGGAAGGGCTAACAACGGAGACGAAATCAGAAGGCTGGTGGGAGGGCTGGGTGTGATAAGACATCCATGGCTCTGAACGTGGTAAGCGCTCAGTGGTTTCTGCTGTCATTCCCATCAGCATGAGCAGTTATACGCTTTGGAGAGTCCTAAGTTTGAACTCAAGCGCTTCGCTGTTCTTTGCTAAGGTTTTCCGTCTGTAAAATGGGGCCTTATACACACCACACAGACACGCGTGAAGATTAAGTGAGTTAATGTTCAAAAAGCCAGATGCCTGCTGGGGGCTCGTAAATGGCAGGACGGGCGAGTGCTGTCATCACCAATACACCCATTTCCCAGATTCGGGCTCCCAGAACCCCAGAGCCAACCAGGAAGCAGCCACCCGCTTCCTGCAATTCACGGATAAATGCTTCTTCCCCTGAGCACGCACGATCCCCTGTTTTCTAGATAATGTGTCTGTGATCTCAGAGGGTAATTACTCCAGCAGGAAGAGAGGGAGCCGACTCTACGTCCACAGAGAGCCGCAGCTGCGCTGTTGCTACGCACCAGCCTCACCCCTTGAACAGGATGTCGAAGCCTAATTATGCCTCCTGCTTACACGGAGGAGGGGGGGAAGCCCTTGTGCAAGCTCTGGATCGGCCCCACTGGAACTGCTGAGATTTCCCAGGGTGCAGAGCGGCGCTCCCCATGACAGAGAACACACGCTCCCAGTAGCAGTACCTGCCGATATCTGCAGTGTTTTATGACCACAATTTAGGAGGAGTTGTTCACAGACATTTTTTAATTTATCTTTTTTTTTATTGATTTCCTATTAAATTTATTTTTATTTATTTATTTCTTAGCTGTTCCATGTGGCATGCAGGATCTTAGTTCTCCGACCAAGGACTGAACTCATGCCCTCTGCAACAGAAGCACGGAGCCTTAGCCACTGGACCACCAGGGGAGTCCTTTATTGACTTCTTTCAATCTTTGCAGTGACCCTTGGGAGCAGACCTATTGAATATTTCACAGATGCACAAGGGGAGGTCAGAGAGGTGAACTGATTTGCCAACGTCACACAGCCCATGGGTGGCCAAGGTAGAATTAAAGCCAGCACCATCCAGCTCAAAAACCCACTCTCCAGCGCACCAGAACCCCACTCTGCTAAACTCCCGAGGCTTGGGCTCATTCACGTGCTGCAAAGAGACCACCTCTCTACCAGGGCGAAGGCTGCCGTTACCTGTTGATGAGAGAGACCACGGCGGCAAAGACCTCTTGGTACAGGCCGGAGGCCATGCCCTCCACACACTCTACGCCGGTCATCTTGAGCCCTGCAGTGCAGAAGAGAGGAGGGTGGGCATCCCGTGGTCAGGACCTTGCCTGGAGTCAGGGATGTCACTGCTGGCCCCAGAGAACCTTCCACCACACAACACATTACCCTGCTGCTGAAATTACTCATGTCTTTAGGATCAAGTTCAAGGGTCATGTCAGGTCCTCCAGGGTCCTGTGTGACCTGACCCTACCCCTCCTCCGCTGTGATCTGGTCCTCCGGGGTCCTGTGCGACCTGACCCTACCCCTCCTCCGCTGTGATCTGGTCCTCCGGGGTCCTGTGTGACCCGACCCTACCTCTCCTCCGCTGTGATCTGGTCCTCCGGGGTCCTGTGTGACCCGACCCTACCTCTCCTCCGCTGTGATCTGGTCCTCCGGGGTCCTGTGCGACCTGACCCTACCCCTCCTCCGCTGTGATCTGGTCCTCCGGGGTCCTGTGTGACCCGACCCTACCTCTCCTCCGCTGTGATCTGGTCCTCCGGGGTCCTGTGTGACCCGACCCTACCCCTCCTCCGCTGTGATCTGGTCCTCCGGGGTCCTGTGTGACCCGACCCTACCTCTCCTCCGCTGTGATCTGGTCCTCCGGGGTCCTGTGTGACCCGACCCTACCTCTCCTCCGCTGTGATCTGGTCCTCCGGGGTCCTGTGTGACCCGACCCTACCTCTCCTCCGCTGTGATCTGGTCCTCCGGGGTCCTGTGTGACCCGACCCTACCTCTCCTCCGCTGTGATCTGGTCCTCCGGGGTCCTGTGTGACCCGACCCTNGCTGAAGCTGAAACTCCAATACTTTGGCCACCTCATGCGAAGAGTTGACTCATTGGAAAAGACCCTGATGCTGGGAGGGATTGGGGGCAGGAGGAGAAGGGGACGACAGAGGATGAGATGGCTGGATGGCATCACTGACTCGATGGGCATGAGTTTGAGTAAACTCCGGGAGTTGGTGATGGACAGAGAGGCCTGGTGTGCTGGGATTCATGGGGTCACAAAGAGTTGGACATGACTGAGCGGCTGAACTGAACTGAACTGATGCCCTTTTCACTGCTAAAGACACTGAGGGTCAATGGCACCGAGTTAGGTTAAGTCTCACGGGGCTACTTGGAAAGTAAATGGTGTTTGCAGACTCCCTTATTATTATCATTGTTATTATTATTTTTGGCTGTTACATGCAGCATGTGGGATCTTAGTTCCTCGACCAAGGATCGAACCCATGCCCCCGGTACTGAAAGTAGAGTCTTTACCCACTGGACCACCAGGGACGTCCCCTTGCTTTTTTGAAAAATTTACTTTTCAAACTGAGATACAATTGACATACCAAAAAATCTGTACATTTTTTAATCACACATCCTGATAAGTCTGAAGCATAAACCCATGACATCATCACCACAGAAACACCATAAACATAACCATCACCTCTAAAAGTTTCTTTCCTCTGTGTGTGTGTGGGTATGTGTGTGTGTCTGTGAGACAGGAAGAGAGAGGAACTTTCAACATAAGATTAACAGATTTTTACATACAGAATACATTACTGTAAACTACAGGCACTCCCTTGCACAGTGGAGATATTCATCTACTGACCACTTTATTTGCCTGTCCTCTAGGGTTTTTTCATCTTGACTAAATGAAACTATGTACTCTGTGATAAAATGTCTCATTTCCCCCTCCCTCTACCCCTATCCCAGCAACCACCATTCTACTCTGTGTCTCTATAAGTTGGACTACTTCAGATTTCTGATGTAAGTAGTATATTGTTCAAAAGTAAATAAAGAAGGACATCCTGCCATCTGCACCAAGACGGATGAACCCGGAGGATGTTCTGCCGAGTGAAGTGAATGAGCCACCGGAGGACACACGGACCCTGGTTTTACGGCACTGGCCACAGCTCATCTTTACTTTCTGGTTATTTTGTTAGTCTGTGTCTCCCACCCCTCCCCCTACTGGGAGCGCCCCAAGGATGGGGACTGATTCTGAGTTTGTTGGCTCCGAATTCCAATTTCTGACACACAACAGTTACTCAGCAAATATCTGTTGTTCCCTCTTTCTAGGGGGAAATTTGGCAGTTTCACAGCAGAAGCCATAACATGTTCATGCTCTTGGACTTAATAACTTTACCCTTAGGATTTTATTGTAATGAAATATGCAGAGAAACAAAGATTTCTAGGTATATACTTTCTCCCAATTGTTCATTAAATTGGCAAAAAATCACTTTTTCAAGACAACTTGAATACTCAACAAATAGCAAATGGGATAGATAAATTGTAGTCCAACCATATAATAGAATACTTCAAGTCAAGTCTAGAAGAACATTGAATGAGATGGAAAAGTGCCTGCATATAGTGTTAGGAGGAATAAAAAAACTTAGAAAACTATTAGAATGGTGGCCTCAATTTTGTATAAACACACACGGGCCCCATTAGCACAGCCAGCCTTGATTAAGGGGCACTGAGCAGAACGGGGTAAGGAGTGGGGCTCGCATCTCAAATACTGGCCCTTAGGTTTTGGTTCCAGCCGTGGAATTAGAAACACAGTTTGCAAATCTGCAGGCCCCAGGGCCTGGAGAAATAGTTTTGCTTGTACATTCCAGGCTGCCCGCTGCAGCCCCAAAGCATTTCCCGTCCCTGCTTTAACTCCACCTGCAACCTGGGTCGTTGCTAGGCAACCCACAGCCTCCCAGCATCTCTCTCAAGCCTGCTGGTCCCCTGCCTGCTTAACATCTACCCTTGAGACCTCAGCCTTCGAGGCTGACTCAGCTTCACAAAGCAGTGCATACACGTAACTGTGCTTCTGTGTGTGTGTGTGTGTGTGTGTACATACGTGTGTGCTGTGCATGTGACAGCGCAGGTGTGTGCACATGGCTGTACATGGTACAAGTGTGTGCCTGTACATGTGCAGCCGTGTCAGAGAGGAGGTGTAACTATCAGGCAGAGCCCAGCTTACACCAGAGCGCAGAACTGGATGGCAGTGAAGTCTATGACATCAGCCTTCAAACTGAAGTCCCTGGCAGGTGGAGCAGCCCTGTAGATCCAAGGGGCCTCTAACAGATGGTGCTAAAACCACAGTTCAAAACAGTGCTACCTGCTAAGCCCAGACTCTGCAGTCTCCAGAGAGCTCCTCTTGGAGAGTTCTCAGAGATCCCCGGGGCTCTGAGGGGTCCTCTGCCCTCACCTTCTGCAGCCGAAGCATCTGGCCGCCGAGGCTGCAGACCTGGGACTCAGCAGACCCACTCGAGCAGGTGCAGTGTAACTGTGCTCCTGCCTGCCCCACTCCACATCAGTTCAAAGCACCCCCATTCCTCCAGCTGCTTGGACTCGAGTCCTAGAAGGTGTCCTGGCCCCGTGCTTCTTCCAGGGTTCATGCCAACAGCTCTGACTGTAAACTAGACCTTGAACTGGTCCATCTCCACCCATCTGGTCCACCCTGTTCTTTGTCCAGCTTCCATTACCTCACCAGGGTGACCTGTATCAGTTCCCACCCACTCCTTGCTCTCCATCCAGGCTGAGCTTCCCACAGAATAAACTAATCATGCCATTCTCCTGCTTGTCTCCTCCATGGCTTCCCTCAGCCTGAAAAGAAAACCCCATTTATAGACTATTTGGTGAGCTCTCTAACCTTATTTACTGTCCTCAGCTACTGTCCTCCCCTCCAGACCAACCATCCTGGCCTTATTTCTGTTCTGGCAGGTGAGTCTTCCAGCTACAGAGTAGGGGCTCAGCGAAGACCACATCCAGTGGAAATGCCATGGCCCCTTGGCACCATCCTTAATGCCCCCCTCTTGGCAGCACAGGGCTCCCCTCCCAGGTTTCAGCAGCCTCTGACCCTAGGACAGAGCACTGTGCAGGAAGGGGCCAAGACCATTTCCAGAGAAGCAGCTTCGTTTGCACCTAGAAGGTCTACATACAGTAGACCCTCAACAAATCCTTGACGAATAGTGAAAGGATGCTGGTGTGTCCCCAGAGGGTGGCTCCGCAGGGACCCAGTCCGCCCAGGGAGGCCGCGGTATGATACCTGAGCTGGCTGCCTCATCCTCCAGGCTCCGGCGGCTCGGCCCAGACGTCACCTGCTCGATGATCTGCCGCAAGTGGTGCTTGAAGGTGGCCGTGTTCAGGTCCTCGTACTCGCAGCCCAAGGCCTCTGCTGCGTGGCTGGCCCACTCAAAGCGCATGAACTGCTTCCGGCCCACTGCGCGGGGGGCAGAGCAGAGGAGGGCGGTGAGGAACTGGGCGGGTGATGGGTAGGCGTCCAAGAAAACCTCAGAGAATCTCACCACCTCCCAGCCTCTGGGCCACCCACCCTCAGCAGGAGCCTGAACAACTGAGGCCTGGGGCCAGCTGATGGCCTTGGGCAGGAGCCCGCCTTCCCAAGAGACATGTTTGTCCGACTGCCCTGCCATCTGCATTGTTCACTTTTCCAAAGCAATTAAAAATATCATCCTCTCTATGGGCTATTATAATGCCACTTAACGTCAGCAACAAAGCCTATACAACACGGGCAATACTTATCTGGTAACATTAAATGAAAAGGACTGGAAAAAATCACACCGTAGTAAGGCATCAACTGTGTAAATCACTCTAAGCTGCTATACAAATAAGGAAAAGGAGATATGTTCAAACATGAACAATCACAGGGGAGGGGGAGTGTGTATATTTCAAACTTTCTGCAGTGGTTCTGTACTAATTTTGTAATCCAGATTTTAAAAATTAATAATTTATTAAGGCAAACCACAGTTCCACTCTTAAAATAATTTTCTCCCATCTCCTATCTTCCTATATCTGTGTTTCTTTGAAATAAGAATCACAGCTGCCAACAGAGACTTCTCAATCCATCAGAAAGGGATCATAAGGGTATCATTCTTCAAACAGACATCTTAAAGAATCTGCCTGGTTTAAGAAAAATTTAGAAGTTTGGAAAAAGACTTTATTTGGGGCTTTGACAATATCCACCTGGAGAGGGTTGCCATTTCCTTCTCCAGGGGATCTCCCCCACCCAGGGATTGAACCAAGGCCTCGTGCATCGCAGGCGGATTCTTTACCAACTGCACCACCAGGGAAGCCCAAGAAGAAGGAGCGCAGGCCACTGCTTATCAAGGTCCTCCTACACGCCAGTTACTCGGTGCTGATTCTCTCAGGAACATCACTTTATTACCTCCATTTTAGAAATAATTCCCATTTTACATATAATAAAACTGAGATCCAGAGAGGTTACATGGCTAGTAAAAAAGTTCTGCCACTTTAAAAAACGATCAAGAAGGTAAGAACAATGATGGTGATTATGTGGTGAGGATGGTGGAGGGGACAGTGTGATGACGGCGATGACAGTAATGACAGTGGTAACAGTTGCCACTCACTGACCCCATTTAGTTCAACATGTCATCTTTGTTCAGCTCATGGCTTCTGGAGTCAGAACATCTGTCTTAAGAGTTCCAGGTGTGACACACAAAAAAATCAGTACATACAAAATTTAACTACTTATTATACTCCCAAAAGCAGTATCATTCCTATCTTACAGATGAGAAAACTGATTCAGAAAAGTCACCAGAAATCAGGCTACGTGGAAGAACTATTTCCCCAAAATCAACATGGACTGGAGCCCGCCAGGCTCCTCTGTCCATGGGATTTTCCAGGCAAAAATACTGGAGCGGGTAGCCATTCCATTCTCCAGGGGATCTTCCCAACCCAGGGATCAAACCCATGTTTCCTGCATCACAGGCAGATTCTTTACCATCTGAGCCACCAGGAAAGTTTCTTTCAATATCACCTTGAGAATATTACAACCCTAGGTAAGACTTTCTTTGATGCGGAATCACTGATCTTTTCACTTTCCATAAGTACCTAGTGAAAGGAAATGTTATATAGCACTATCTTAAATGAAAACCCATTTTTTGTAGGAGGTCACTGAGAGGGTGTGACAACCGGGTGGCCTGTGAGCTGGCCCTGGGCAAATGGAGGGGCCTCACCCTTTCTCCTGCCCTTGGAATGTCCACCCAACTCCTCCCCACTCCCACGGCAGGGACTGGTACAAGGACGCAGCCTTGAGATGGCAGGGAGCTTCTGAGACCATCCAGAAGGGCTCTGTGACCCAGCCCAGTTCCGGCCTCTCTATAAACTCTTAAGACTTGGGCGAGCAGGGGTGGAGACCCACCCACCGTGCAGCGCCCGAGACAAGCCTTGTGTGTCAGCTCCCTTGTGCGTCACACCTGCCACCCTCCCATCTGAAAGGGTTGACTCTTCAGTCTCTCCCTGCCCCCCCCCGCAACCCAGTGTACGGGGGGCTAGTTCTTGAACCAACACCGCCATCACTTGTCACAAACAGAAGGCAGAAATAAATACAATGTGTGTACAGAAATACCATTAGATTCTAATTAGATACAGCTACCTGGGAGCCTGAGGTCTGCTTTCTCATTGCTAAAAATAATGGGAGATTAGCAAGCATTACAGAGAGGAGTTACAGGCTACTAGCCCTGAATGAGACGCCCTCTTCCTGAACATGACTGTCCAGGCGGCCGATGCCCTGCCCCTCTCCTGCCCCATCGCCTCCACGGCCACCCTCTGAATCGGCCTCCGGACCCTGCCCACTGTGACCTGTAGCCTCGCAGAGCTACAGGAGTTCACGAAGGGGCTCAGCGACGGCTGTGTCTGAAAAGAGGAGCTGAAGTGCATAGGGCAGGACTCTAAGTCCCGTTGGACTTAAGGGGCTTATTTCTAGGCTCCTGCTGGTGAAACCCAGGAGGCACATGTGAGCTTTGCTGGGAAAACGCATTTCTGCTTCCAGCCACCTGAAGGCAGGCCAGGCACCAAACCCAACCCCATGGGTCCCTCCGTCTTTGTCCAGAGCCAGGTGGAGGCCAGGACTTCTCAGAGGGGGCTGAGAACCCTGGGCCGGCACCTGTGGCGGGGAGAAGGCGGACTGGACGGGAACACGGGCGCCAGAGCAGCCAGGGTCTGCTTATGAGGACGCTGAGCCACAGAGAGAGCGACCTTCTGAGGTCTCGTGGCTGGTGAGGGGCAGACCTGAGATCTGAACTCCAAGCCTCCTGACTTCAGCTCTCAGTGTGCTAACCCTGGGCCCATGCAGAGGAGCCTTCTCTCACACAGGGATATTGTTCTGAAACCAGAACGGAGCAAAAAATCAGAGTCAGAGGCTTAAAATTCCCCTTGAGAATCTCTTAAATTGCCCGTAGCATACAGTACTGCAGCATATTTCCCCGAGTCCGACGCAGCAAGCCTCCCCTCCAGTGGAACACCAGAGGGAGTGGGTGGCTTGCCTTCAGGGTCCGTGCTGGCCTCACACCTGCCTGTGCGTGGCCGGATTTACATAAACACAACGTTGTCTGACGGGACCGCCCACCCTGCTCTGTAGGAAAGAACTACCTGCAGGTACCAGTTCTGTAACCATGCTCAGTGAAAAAACGGTCCGTGCATCTCGCCGTGACCCGGGGGGATGCACACCTGGATGTGTCTACACGGAGCGGGGGGACGGCTGAATGGCCCTGGCTCATCTCCCAGCTGCCTTGGGAGGTGTGCAGGCTGAAGGCCGTTAGGCCTGATTTATAGCAGAGGCCAGCAAGACCCAGAAAGGGGAACCGCCTTGCCCTGAGTCAGAGCCGTAAATGGCTGAGCCAGCCCTTGAGTCTAGGTCCCTAGACCCTCCGGTCGTGGCACAGGGTTAGGGGCAGCTCTGGTACCCCCAATATCTCACATTTCAGACCTGGCTTGAGCACATGAGTGGGCTGTAGGTCAGGTCGAAAGGCAACAGGGACACACTTCAGAAGGCAGCACGTGGGCGGACCAGAGCAGGGCTGCTGCTGCGCCTCCGTCTGCCCCGGGCTTCCTGTGCTTCCTCTGCCGGGGGCCTTCGCGCGCACTGGAATTTGCCCAAGCACAGGCTGTGGCTGGACGTGCCACGGAACAAACAGCCCCAGCCCTCAACCGGTGACTGGAAGTCTGAAAGCGTTAGTTACTGAGTCGTGTCCGACTCTTTGTGACCCCATGGACTGTAGCCTGCCAGACTCCTCTGTCCATGGGATTCTGCAGGTAAGAACACTGGAGTGGGTTGCCATGCCCTCCTCCAGGGGATCTTCCTGACTCAGAGACTGAAGGTAAGGCCTTCTGAGGCCAGTTGCTCCGGGGTGTGCGCTATGCTGATCCCCAGAGGCCTCCAGCGGAGTGGAGCCCCAGCTGCCTGCAGAAGTAGCTGGTTTTGGTGACAGGCTCTTACAGGCTGCCTTCCTTCCCCACGCCCCTCCCAGGGCTTCCTGGGATCACCTCTCTCGCAAGATTCTAGCCCTTGAACCCTTATCTCAGCAGCTGCACCCATTTACAGTGTTGAGGCTCAGAGACAGCCTTGGACGCTGATCCCACGTAACACAGTTGGTTTGGTTTTTCCTTCAATTGGGCTTCCCTGGTGGCTCAAGTGGTAAAGAATCTGCCTCCTAAAGCAGCAGGTAGACCCAGGTTCAATCCCTGGGTTGGGAAGATTCCCTGGAGAAGGAAATGGCTACCCATTCCAGTATCCTTGGCTGGAGAATTCCATGGACAGAGGAGGATGGTGGGCTACAGTCCATGGGGTCACAAAGTCGAATGCGACTGAGTGACAAACACATACCTCCCTTGAATTATTGAGGCCAAGAGAAGGTTCTCTGAAAGTGAGCCAAATTCCTGGCATGCTGCTCTTTTGGGTGTGTGCCTCTGTCTATCCCTAGAAGCCGTCTGCACATATGGGGTGAGGTCTGGCCCCACCCGCCGTGCTACCAAGGGCAGGGCTGAGCGAGAAACTCCCCGCGTGACCAGAGGGCCGTGGAGCAGGACACAGCAGCCGCACGGCCAGGGTCAGAGTTTCCCAGAGGGCCCCTCAGAGCAGGTGTTCCCTGGGGAGGAATGGATGCTGGGTGGTATCACTTTGCCCATTGTTTGCTAACACAAGTTTCTTAACTGCAGGACATCTCAGAGCCTTTAAGGAGTATGGTATGACGCTCCAAGAAGGGGACGTTCTGTGTAGACTGATGTGGCCTGGGAATGCTTTTAGACCAAGATGGTCTAACATCCCCTGAGACACCGGTTTAGGAAACAGTGGCTTAGCTGAAGGAGTCCTCCGTTAACCAGGTCACCCTGGGCAAATCATTATACCTGAGTCACTCACCCAAGATCACTGCTGAGAAGAGGCAGGCTAGAGTTTGAAGACAA